GGGGGCTGAACTCGCCGCAAACACGCACCCCCCCCCCCCTTTGTCATGCATTACACAGGGCAGGACGACGTGGAATGGTGTGCCGCCCCTGCGGACGCCCCGATGCCTGTTCAGAGACGAGACAAACGGAGTAACCGCTCGCGTAGCAAGTGTGTCCGGCCGACGGTCCCCTTGGACACTAGGCCCAAAGACGGAGGCGTGTCAGAAGACGGGCGAAGGCACCTCCCTCCGGTCCCGCCCCCCCCCCCTCCCGGCCCCGGGCTGCACGCCCTTCAACGGCAGCATGTCGCCTCGGGGCCGGCCTCGAGTCCCGAGAGGGAGTGATGCGCAATATATCTCGCCCACTCTCGGACACGAATGGTCGGGTCGGCGGCAGCCAGATTCCCGCACCGCGCCCCCAGCACGCCGGAGGACAGGCCAATGGAGAGGCGGCAGATGTGGTCTGTCGGTCCGATTGCCGCACGCGACTAGCCCGCACGGCCACAGAACCGGGTCCCCCTCCCCCCTGTCATTGAGCAACGCGCTCGGGCTCCAATCAGTGCCACTGTTGAACGCGGGCATGGGTGCACTCTGCCGGGGCACACCTTGCGCGGTCGTCTGCCCCCGCCCCACGCCCGAACACCGTGCAAGGCTGATCACCGGCACATCCCATATCGGCCGGCACACCAGGCTGGCCAGGCCCCCGGGCGCCTGGCGAAGCATCATCCACCCAGCCAGCCCTCTCCCCCCGCCCCCCGCCTTCGCTCCCCCCCCCCCTCCATCTCCCGCTCCGAGGCACCTCTGCACTTCTTCTCCTCCCCGCTGCCACCACCGTCCCCTCCTCCTGCCCCCCTCTCAGCCTCGACCCGCTCGCTGCTCCGTGTGACGCGCACCCGCCGGCCCTCGCCATCATGGTAATGCCGCCAACTCCCCTGCCCTGCCCTGCCCTGCCCTGATCTGCTCTACTTTGCTTTGCGCCCCCCGGCCCACGCACCATCCCCTTTGCTGCCCACCTGCTGACTTTGTCCTCCCCCTCCCCCCCCCCCCCTATGCCCGGCTCCCCCGGCCTGCCCATCCGCTCGCTAGTTCCGCAACCAGTACGACAACGACATCACTACCTGGTCCCCCCAGGGTCGCATCCACCAGATCGAGTATGCCTGCGAGGCTGTTGCCCAGGGCGCGGCGGCCGTGGCCGCTCGCTCCGACACGCACGCCGTCCTGGTGGCCCTGCAGCGCCCCGTCGACGAGCTTTCCTCCTTCCTCAAGAAGATCTTCCGCGTGGATGCCCATCTGGGTGTGGCCATTGCCGGCATTTCCTCCGACGCGCGTGTCCTCAGGTGTGTTTCCCGGGCAAACGCTCCAATTCCCCTCCCTCTCTCCCTCTCTCTTTTTCTTTCTCCTTCTCCGGGGGAGTCCCACACCACCGTGTCAGCAACTAACTCCCCTTGCTCTGTGCCCCTCCCGGCCACCACCGCCACTGATGCCGCCAGCTCCTTCATGCGCACTGAGTGCCTGCGCTCCCGTTTCGTCTATGGCCGTGCCATGCCGGTCCAGCGTATTGCCCACGCTGTTGCCGACAGTTCGTGCCCTCCCCCCCCC